TCCTAAGCTCGGTTTTGTCAGGTAGCTCAGTTAGCTTATAGTATTTAAACATTTAAAAATGTTAATTATTTCTAAATTTTAATTATTTTGGACCGGTTAGAACAAATAGAATGATCAAAAATTTTACTTCGATGTTTTTTTCTATACACACAATGGAGTAATTTGAAACCGATCAATACGACATACAAGTATCAAAGACCTGAATGATCCAAAGGAATAAACACCATGTCACGGCTCTTACTTTTTTGATGATTGGTCTGAAGTATATATTAAATATACCATTTTGTGTATCATATGTTGTATATTGTCCAATGTTTTACAATTTCAACGCATTCTAACATAAAGGCGTTAATCACCTAGATGTTGGCAGAAGAAAACCACAAAATTTCATCTACACACATACTGACTTGGGTATTTATCAAATTGTCTATGGCAAAACATCACAAAATAAAAGTATGTTTAAGATATAAAAAAGGGCCAAACTCAAAAAATGGTGGAAGGTGAAGTATATATATGGGTAAATTACATTTTGATCCCCTCAATCATGATCTTTTTTTCACTTTGCCCCTTATTTGGGGGTCTATTATCTCATAGGGTTCAAATTAAAGATAATTGTGGTCATTAAACACTAAATATGGAAGGATTAACCTGGAGAACCTCAATCAGTATGGTAATCTGATTAACCTGATTTTACTTGTCATTAGTTGTTACACTTTAGCATTTTAAAGCAATCACCGTACAATTTTACTGCTCATAACCAAATTCTTTTACCGTCGTTTGTTGTATCTTTCAGCTACGGAGGTTGCCCCCAATCAAACCACAACACTTTTGTTTATAGTCATTTTCAGGGTAATCACAACTATACTTTATTATCAATGTCAAAGTCAACAATGTCTCCTGGGAAAGAAGGCAAAACCCAAAAAAGAAAAGGAAAAGAGAGGCGATGAACCAATAATGGAGCGCTGCGTGAGGCTCTTCTTCGGTCATCCACATTCCACCATTGCCTCCACCACAAGACCATGAAGAAAGCTGGCAAGTAAAGGATGACGCTATAGAGTGTAGAAAACAGTTTCCCATGCTTGCAGGGACGGCTCGGTACAATTGGAGGCCTAAAGCCCTGTATGAACGAGATCTTTTATTTTTAAAAAAATATTTTCAATTTTTTTTGTAAATTTTATTATTTTTAGATAAATATTTCTTATTACGTTTTTGTCTTAAGTTTTGCTAACATATCTTTTTTGATTAATATAGAATGAATAATTGATTTTTTATTTCTTAGACATTATCGAACTAACAAAGGATTTTATTAATTTAAATTTTGAAAAGCTTCTATTTGAAGAAAAAATTGTTATAAAATGTTAATAATTATATTTTATAAAAATAATGCACTTGAAAGAATAAAGTAATTCTATCTAATTAAGTATCTCAAGTAAGATGCTTTCTTTTGTTTGTAAGTTTTTTTTAAAGACATTTAAATCTCAAAACCAACCTAGACCATCAATAGCAAAAAAAATTCATATTTAGTCAACACAGAATATTAAGACAATATTTTTTAAATTGCTATCGACTAGTGAGTTTTAGTTTTCAAATTGAATAGAAAATCATTAAATTCTTAAACTCAATATTTATCTAGTAGATTTTGTTGTCTCCTCATTAATTTGTTTACTGGGGGAGGGGGAGGGGCAGTTGGGACCTATGGGAGTGTAGAAGTGTAATTGATTTTTTTAGCATTGAAATTTATTGTTTTTTTTTTCAAATGTTATTGTATAAGGTTAATGAGTTGGACTTTTGGGCCTAAAATAATTTAATGTTTCTTTGTTGGTTTGGGCCTTTGTGGGGCCCTTTTAGGGTTTATTTCTACGGGTTGAAATTTTTGGTCTAGATCATATTGACAGGCTTATGAAATTTAGGGCCTCATTCAACGATGGGGTCTAAAGATCATGCTTCAATTGTTGTGTTTTCAAGAACAATGAAATGGCCTCGAATTCTTATCTTTGTGAACTTACATACTATTGTAGAGGTGAATGTTAAAGATAGTTTTTGTGAGACTTGTATACATTTGGCTTTCACCTAAATTCACCAATTTTGTGTAGAGTTAGTGAATCATATTTACAGTAGAGATGCCCACTTGTTATGCATTGCATTGCATTGAAGTGTTGCATATTCTAGAATGATATTAAGGTGATGTTTGATAAACTGAAAACTGAAAACTGATCACTGAAAATTGAATGTTGCATTTTTTAATTTGTAAACTTTTTGATATCAACTAAAATTTAAGTATTAAATTAAATCAAACTGTTTAACAAATATAAAAAGCTGAAATTTAAATTATTATTATTCTAATTTTGTCATTCTCTTTAACCCTCTCATTGTAACTACCATTTCCTACCAGGTGGTAGTGGTGGTGACAACACAATGGTGGTAGTAGTGGTGGCATAATGGTGGTGGTGGCGACGACACAATAGTGGTGAAAGTAGTGGCGGTGACAATGACACAATAGTAGTGGTGGTCGTAGTGGTGTCAGTGACATAATGATAGTAGTGATGACAATAATGGTGGTGCTGGTGGTAGTAACACAATGGTAGTAGTAGTGGCGATAGTGGTGGTGATGGTGGCACAATGGTAGTGGTTGTGGTGGCAGCAATACAATGGTGATGGTGGCATAATGGTGGTGGTGGCAATAATATAATGGTAATGGTGGTGGCAGTGGCACAATGGTAGTAATGGTGGCACCAAATCAATGGTGGTGGTAACACAATAGTGGTGGTGGCATAATGGTGGTGGTGGCGATAGTGGTTGTGGCACAATGGTAGTGGTGGTGACACAATGGTAATGATGGTGGTAGTGGTGATAGTAGTGTTGGTGGTTATGACGATGACACAATGATGGTGATGGTGGTGGCATAATAGTGATGATAGCGACACAATGGTGACGGTGGAAGTGGTGGCAGGGGAGGTGGCGGCGGCGACAATATAATGGTGGTGGTTTTGGTGGATGGTGGGTATTGAAAAATTAAGAGTATAAGATGTATTAAGGGTATATTTATCCATTATGAGAAATTGATAAAATTTTTATTGACTAATATTTTCAGCATTAAGTGATAAGTAGGTGGTTTGTTACTTAAAATTTTAGCATATTTATAAGAAGTGCTTAAAATATTAAGTAATATGAGTTTTATGTTATCAAACGAGTTTAATTTATAAAATTTTTAAAGTATTTAGTTTTAAACTTGAAGTGGTGTTATCAAATAGCTCCTAAGCCAATAGAACAATAATATCCTAGTGCCCAATATGTAGCTTATTATTGTTGTCTTTCAACTTTTTTTTTTTGAAGTGAACATATACAGTTTGAAAGTATTCATAACTATCGATATAATAATAATAGAGATTTTTCAATCAACCACTCCCAAATTTATCAGTGTAGAACTGGTAGGTCACTATGTGCCCAAAAATAGAGGCATGCAAATTTTTTACTTCGATATTCTATTATATCTTCTCCAATGAATTGATTCGGATTTACGTTTCCCATAACACTAGAAATTCTGTGATACCCTCCCCGTAAAAGAGTGCACATATATATTATACACTCCACCTTCGCGGTCGTTTAATTTCTCAGTCCACATTAGGTCATAGTCATTGCACTTGCACTGTAATTAAGTTTAACTGGCAATCATAAGTTGGTCCACATTGGGTGTAGGGGCAGAGTCAAACATCTTTCCCTGTGGGACAACATAAACTATACAATATTAAAATTTTAAATATTTAGAAAAATATAATTTTATTAATAAAATATCAATTAAAGACACAACTCATATATATGAGCGATATTCAAAAGGAACTAATTAAAAAAAACTGACTATAAATTTATCTATAAAATTTAACGAAAAATTTTGAATCCAAAAAATTGGGCTCAATCATATATCGAATATATACATGAGAAATTTCAAATTATCGAGCATCCTCTAAATCTTAGATAGCAACACAAGCAATAAGTAGAATCTTTTACAATATTGTATTCTAAAAAAATAAATTATAGAAGAAAACTATAAACCCCAATTTCTAAGTAGAATCTTTTACAATATTGTATTCTAAAAAAATAAATTATAGAAGAAAACTATAAGCCCAATTTCATTTCAATCCAAAAAAATAAATATAGGACTACAGTGGAGGCATTTAGCCTTTTAAAGCATATTGTTGACATTTACAAATGAGAACCACATATTTCTCAAAGTATCATAAGTACCTATATATCTTTTATAAAAATTTAGTGGAGGCAAATCTCTAATAAATTTTAAAATTTTTGAAATTATACTTACTCTCCAAAATTAATATTTTAAAATTCCAGTGGGGACAGCTGCCCCCACTATGTATCTGTTAGTGATTGGATTATAACCGTTGAATATTTGATTATAATCAATCGTGTTGTGTATCATTAAATTTTCCATTCTATAAAGCTATACATTCTATTTTCTAGACTTAAAAATGGAAAAAAATCAGGCTCTCCAAAAAGGTATTAGTCCATTTTTAAGAGATATTGATAACGTGTTTTTCTAACAGATGAGTATTTGTCATCATTCTACCTCCTACCTCTATTTTATAATTTTATTTTTCTCTTCTTGGGGATATATTATGCACATCTAACAGGCAACATTTGGCTAGGTAAAGGATATTAATGGGATCATATTATACCTCACGTAAGCCCACCCAAATTCAAGTCGGCAGGTTACTACCATCCCTAGTTGATCAACTCTCCCGCCATAAAAAAATATATTTAAAAACAAAACTTAGAGCTATAACGGGACAAGTACGTACGGATTATTGCACAGGCAAATCATTTTTAAAATCTCACCACAGGTTGATCTAATTGATTGCACCAATGAATAGAAAACTTATATCAGACTTTGTGAATTGAATTTTTCATCTTAGTTCGGTAGGATCAAGACAGAAAGATTGAGAAATAAAACTAGCTGATCTCAATTTTGGCATACAGGGTGAATAGGCATGGGGAACTCCGACGAGCTCATGATCTTGTCACCTCTAGTAAGAAGGAAGGATGTTGAGACGAGGGCGTGGCTTATTGTTCAAGAGATTGGAAAGTCACACATTGAAGAGGTTGGGAAGCAGTCAATTATGCGCAGGACAGGAATTCCAGCACGGGATCTTAGAGTTCTCGATCCTAAGCTTTCGTACCCATCCACGATACTTGGAAGAGAGCGCGCCATTGTTCTGAATTTGGAAAATCTTAAAGCTATCGTCACAGCAACTGAGATGCTCATTCTGAATCCAAATGATCCTGGTGTTGCGCCATTTGTCAGTGACCTTGAGCACAAACTCTCTAGTTCTGATGGCTCCCAACCTATTGTGAGTAGATTTTCTCTTCATAATTCATGAATCAAGTGTTTTGTTAATTTCATGAATCTTTTTAGAATTTTTCTTGTTAAAATTGGTTATGAAAGTAGTTTTGTTCTTGTTTTTCCGTTAAATATTTCGAAAAAGAGTGAAGCAAATGCTAGTATGTGGTTACCCTAAGATGAATCTTCTTCATAACTTTTCAGTTGTTAGTAAAACTTCTTTGAAATTTATCTAGTTGCCAAATTGTCACAAAACAACTAATATTATCACTGTTTTGATGGGTAATGATCAAGACGAAAGCTGGGGACGATAGTAGCTCTTATACATACCGATAAACACCGTAATTCTAGCTCTTTTTTCCTTTTACTTTGAATCAATGTGGATTGTCAATAAATAAATAAGTTGGGTACCTATATTAATTAATGCAGGTAATATGACTCATTTTTAATTAAGCAC